GGGGGGGGGGGGGGGGGGCGAGGGCAGCGGTTTCAGAGTGGATAAGAGTCTTAGTGTCCTGCATGGATATGATGGAAGGCAGAGAGGGCTGAGACGACATGGGTATCTGCGACTAAGGACCTAAAACTTAGACCGGCATCTTTCTTGTTAAATTTTTGGCTTTTACTGACCTTGGCCTTCATATGGGCAGGGCCACTTGACATTGACCAATTAGGGATGAAGGACAAGGATGGAGGTGTCGCCACCATTATGGCTAACTGGTTTTATGGTTGGTATAGCCTATTAAAGCAATCTCTACCGCCATACTGTATTTTGTTTTCAATAATTAGATGCTGTGTTTGAGTGCATTTTAACATTTCCACACAGTAATTGTCGATGGGGGGACAGAATAAGGGTCGACGTGCAAGCAGGAACTGCTATAACGATGCAATGGGCTCAGGGGATCAACCGGTTTGTGGTACTGCGCATTTGCTTACCTATGCGGAGTCTATTTATCTCCCTCACACAGATCCGTCCATCCGTCTTGGCTTTATTCCCCTCCACCTTATCGGAGGTGCATATCGCATTGTTAAGGTGTTACCCCAGTTAGAAACTTATGCTTCGTTGGTAGTGTTATCACATCATTGGTAACAGAGGAAGGCGTAGCACCCTACAATTTCTCATCCGCGAACAAAAGATCCTCCACCAATTAACTGGGTAAAACGTCGCTTTTTTCTGTGCATCAAATAAAGGCATCAGGTTGATCATTCCACAGATCGTTCCGCCTTTGTGACACTCATCATACTTGACTACCTTTGTAGTTATCATATTGTCCTTCCACTACATTCTCTTGACCTCTAAATACATGAATTTCGTCAATTTTGCAGAAGCTATCAAAAATTTGCTGTTCCATCTCAGAATGCGTGGCTTTAACTACGTTGGAGGCCATTTAGTCTCTTGACCATTTGTAGGATTGAAACTGAAAACTGAGGGCGTCTGCAGCTTCAATAAAATCCTTTGGTCCAGCTTTTTGCAAGATTCATTCCTGAGTTTTGCCTGATTATGCCCAATATGGAATGCTAAAGTACACACTCTGGTTACAAATCTCGGAAGGCGAAAATAAGTGAGAGTCCAAATCTAATCAAAACGTCTTGGATCAGTTGTGCTGTGGACCAGAAACAGTGCCACGACGAATTCAAGTGGAGTCAAAAGGTAGCCTTTAGCAGTAGCATCCATTCACTTCTTGCAGCTGACGAAGCCCTTTTTTCACCATGTGCAAGTCAGCCAGAACGCTAGAAACAACGTTACTCTAACGGGAGAATAGGAGATTGAGAAGTCTTGGGCCCCGGGCCTATCGTCGCTCCCTTTTTGTCACTGAGGCACAGCTCGCCAAATCAACTTTCAGCATAACACTTGCCTACTGGGAAATAAAAGTGTCAATCTATTGTATCGCCACACACGTTGCGTATGTTGCCAAACTGGACACCCTTCTGCACCTTCTGTTGACTCACCTTCCCTGGATGCCGGACAGCGGATAGGTATACCACCTCGACATCGCTAAAGGCGAGTCTCACTACGTTCGTCAAGCTGACATGCAAAATCACATTCATCAATTTCATTGCATTGAGTAATTTTGAGGGAGTCAAAAGTCTTGTCATGGCGGTAAAATTAAATTCTCTTGCGCAAGCAGATGATGGTACTTTTCAACAACGGAATATTAATTCCTTCGACTCTTGTCCCGGTTAGAGAATCGCTGCTTTAGTGCTCATGGTATTTCTCCTCAAAACTTTAACATTTTCTTTGGGTTCCACTTTTCTCCTCATCACCTCTTATTGACCTTCCATTTACTTAATCCCGTCACCATCGAGAATTCTGAACCACTTTAATTATTTAATTTTATTCCCGTAAAAGAATCCAATTAAAAAAATTTGGCTTTAAGTGCGTACTTGTTTCCAATAAAATCCTTTATTTACGCCCATACCCTTTCCTTCTTCTGTCCCCCTGCGTCTTCTTTCCATTGTCAGACAGTTGTCTTCCACCATCTCTCCCCCTTGTCCGCGGATGAAAGGGAAAGGGATCACAGGTCTTCTCCCCACCTCCATTCTGATTGGTCCACCTTCAAGGTCGTACCTAGTGCGGGAGAATTGTGTGTGTATGTGTTGAATGACTCATTGGCTCCCTCTTTCGCACTCTCGCCTTTTTTGTCTCCTCGATGTCTCAAAAAAAGGTTTACAAGACAAGAGACAGCAAAGCGAAAAAAAAACATTCACACGCCATTTCTGACTCATTTGTTTTCTTTCCCTTCCTCTTCATCTCTTTTCCTTCAATTTTTCCCTTCGTCCCATGGCACTTCCTCACGACGACTTTGACTGGAGAGATGTGACAATGTATTTTGATAATGCATTCTAAAACGGACCATTCCGTAGGCAAAACAGCTCTCTCTGTGTGTCACCACAATTTGGGCCTCCTGCCTCCCAGAGCTCTGTAACTCAGTTGATCCTTTTGCGCGAGGTACATTCGATCTACTTGCTGCATATTTGGGGTGGGAACTCGCCGCCTGTGTGTCAAGGACAACAATGAAAATGCATTACAGTAGGCGCTGTGAGGGCGTCTTCTGCCTAGCCGTGTTTTTCATAGTAAACAAAGAAACTACTGGTGTTAGTAAAAGGTAGTCCCCTTCATTTTGCCACCGACAGGAGAACAATGAAACGTTCCTGAAAATTAGGATTCCGTAAATGGAAATCATTCTTGAACGATTGAGCAAAATGCAGGTGTCGATCTGACGACAGTCATGCTTCAGGGTGACTGGAATGTCTTCTCTCCTCCACCCTCGAGCCATCAGCGCCGAAATGGGGAGTTGCAGCTTATAAACCTACAATTGATTACCCTTGACGCCTCCCTTACCATTCAGTCGTACAGCGTCCTATTAGTGGATAAAAGGATGCAGTTTCACAAATTTTGACCTTCTTTGAACAGAAATCGTTTTGTCGCCTCGCAGTACCATCGGGATTGCTAGTGCTCGGGAAGGGCTTGCTGTCAGCCGACTGAAAGGCGCAATCGAGAAAGTGTAGAATTTCAGCGTAGATCATCGTCATAATCCCTATCCATCACGTCTTTGCTTTAGCCTTCATTGGCCAGTTTTTTACAGCGAGTTACTCTTTTTATCTGTAGCTGAAGACCTTTTATCATCCAGCCTCCATGGTCGTCACCCAACTGCCTCTTCTTAATGCTCATCGCTTTTTAGGCGTCATATTTCCAGGTAGAGGTGACGCCTCTTCCAAGGGAGTCCCTGTACCTGTCTACACCAAGCAGGTAAAAAGGTCACTGACACAACGTAACTTAATAAACAAAACCTAATTTTGCATGGGCTGAAAAGTGAACTTTAAGTGACGCGGATGAATATCTTCCGGCGCACTCACTTTTAAAGTGACCGGTAACACACCGGAGGAAATATAACAAACATTTATTTGCCACTAATAATTACGGCACGTTGAGATGATTAAGAGGTGGAAAGAGTTGTGCCAACTCAACTGTCTCCCTTGAGTGCGCGGATTTGCACCTTCGTATCCTGCTTGGAGATGTGTCAACGCAAGGCTCAGGTGGCACAGAGACTTGCCAGTGTCACACGAAGGGCAAATCACTTCTGCAGTAAAGTGCCAAACCTGATTAATGCAAATTGCACCATCAAAGAGGTGAGTTGCTGGAAGGTGAGGGGCTAGTAAACTTTGACCGCCTTTAAAAAACAGCCTAAGAGGGTGAACCAACTTTTCTAGAATCTTTAAGTGAGTTAATTGAAACTGGAAATTTGGCGCAAGGAAAGTAAGGTGAAAGGCTTTACGTCAAAGGGAACTGCAGTGGTCATCATAGTCTCAGAGTAATGACTGAGCAGTCCAGTTGATTACCACCCATGCGGCCAAACCAATTTGACACGTGAATTGCTCTCTCCATTTGTCAAACCCCTCTTCTCACTCTCTATGTTGTCAGGGCGGAAAAGTTCAGAGAGCCCTCGACGACGTTTAGTACCAGTAAATAGAGCCATCCACAATTCAAAACCTTCCGCTCCCTCCCTTTAGTCGTGTATACCACTCGTGTGGCCATTCATTCCGTGCACGAGTTGAAACTACCATCACCGTACTCTCATGCTGAAGGCTGCCAGAAATCGTGCGCCGAATTCCCGTGAATAACTTGCCGATATAAACAACTACGAGGTCTAAAATTTTAAAATAGTCGAGATTGCTCAAACCCAAACCCAAAATTTTTTCCCACCTTGACTAAAATAAACAAGTCCCTGTGACAAATTTTTCCATTTCGGCACATTTTTCTTACTAATCCAGGCACAACTTTAAGCTATTTCCGGATTAACAGACCCTCGTCCGGAGCAATTTCGGTTGCACTATGCTCTCGCTGTCCACTAAATACGGGGAATGTTTTCGATGCAAGCATTTGCTCCCACAACCCTTACCCTGTCAATGTAAAAGCAATTAATCAGACTGAATCCACTTTCACTCCCCTCTGCACCGTCTTTATTGTCATTTTGAAGACAAAATTAATTCATAGTCGAAGGGGTTAATCCTTCGATGCTCTCAAGGTAAAATCAAAAAGTGCGAAAGAAGCGTGGACGACATCACTGGCAAGTGAAATATGTGATATGGTGGTTGGGAAGAGCGACTCCAGTGGAATTAAGGAGGCAGGGAGGCGTTAAGTGGGTCTCTGTGTATGCTTCTACCATCCTCAAGGTTGACTGCTGGAGCTGTGCATGACGATAAGCACCTCTACTTCTTGATTGGACAAAGCGTTTTTCTTCCTTTTTTGTTGTGTAGCCAGATTTGTTTATTTTTAGACAACGGGCACCCACCTAGCAAAGGCGATCCAAGGTTAAAGCGGTTTCGCCGTTTACTTCGGTTGTTCCATCTAACATTAATGGCCGAAAAGGGAACAATGCGACCGAATCCAGACGGATTGCGGGTAGGACAAGCGATAGATGATTAGGTAGCAGGTAAAAAAATTAGTGCATGGATAAATAGCTAAATAAGAAGGTGACAAGATAAATGCTGATATAATTGCTGCACCCGAAATGAGGGAGAATGTGATCGCCGACGAAAAATAGAGAGATGATAGTATTGTTGAAATAGAAACAGTGTAACGTTTTAGCTGCCAAAGGTAGTAACCACCAGACAGGACTTCTTTACTTACATCTTTATTTTTGAAAGTGAACAAAGCAAGT